CCACTGCCGCCACCGCCGCGTCCCGTCCCATCGTCGCGGGCAACAGCCAAAGTCGCCGCAACTGCAGCACAGAGCGGGCAAAGTCAGGCAGGCCATGGGGCTCTGGGCGCTGTTGCCTGGCTGGGTTTCTGCTACGCTGCTGCTGGCGCTGGCCGCTCTGCCCGCAGCCCTGGCTGCCAACAGCAGTGGCCGATGGTGGTAAGTGAGCTGGTGCGGGGTCGCCACTTGTCCCGAGGCACAGAGCCAGGGGCCAACCCTACCCAGCTCCCACGCTCTGGGATCCGTCTGCCCACAGACTCCCTCCCCGCTCTGACTTCCCTCCGCGACACCGAAGGGCGATCTGGCATGGAGCTGCCCCAGACTCCAGCTCTGTAGAAGTGGGGCGAATGATCCGCCCGCCCGCGGAGGCCTAAGATACCCCAGGCAGGGAGCCCACTCTCATCTAGTACCGCCCTTCCCCTTTGAGCGCCAACTGCAGCCTCACGGTAGTGGCCTCACCACAGGTTTCCCCACCTCGGGAAGTGAAGGGCCAGGCGTTCGCTTAGAAAGGAGGGGAGAAGAGGGTGGGACTCCTAAGCATTTCACGCCTTGGGTGGGCAAAAACGGCAGGCCATGATTATCTCGCTCAGGCTGACCGGAAGAGGCTCGGAGATCCGAGGTAGACACTCGGTCTCCGGGTACCTCTTCTGTCCAGTCTCCGGACCTAGGGCTCAGGCGAGCAGCCCTGGGACTAATGGGGACACACAAGTCTGGACGCCCAGTTCTTTCAAATTAGTGAGCCTGGGAGCGCGGGGTTATTAGCGTATTATTAATCTCCCGCCACTCTCTCCAGCCGCATACCCCCAGGAAGAGGACTGGGTGGCACAGTTTTTATGGTTAGGGTGCGGATCCCCTTCCTGAGCCTGAGCTATCATACGTCCCACCAGGGGTATTGTGAACGTAGCCTCCTCCACGAACCTGCTGACGGACTCCAAGAGTCTGCAACTGGTACTGGAGCCCAGTCTGCAGCTGTTGAGCCGCAAACAGCGGCGTCTGATACGCCAAAATCCGGGGATCCTGCACAGCGTGAGTGGGGGGCTGCAGAGTGCCGTGCGCGAGTGCAAGTGGCAGTTCCGGAATCGCCGCTGGAACTGTCCCACTGCTCCAGGGCCCCACCTCTTCGGCAAGATCGTCAACCGAGGTGGGTGCCCAGGAAGGCGACGCTTCCGGGAGCAGGGGAAACGCGGGGTCACCCCCAGGGCATGGGCGGGCGAGTTCAGAGAAGGTGTCCCAGGCGTCTGGAGGGTCACACGATCAACCCGCCAAGTGCCTGGTGCCCAGCGCCAGCTCGGGGCCAGACTTCTAACAGCCGTGCACCCTGGAAGCGAAGCTTAACTTTTCTGAGCTACTGCCCCAGATAAAGTTTCAGGTCGCGGACGCCGGCTGACCGCCGCTTTCCCCCAGCCTCTCTCAAAAGCGCCTGGGAAGCTGCTCGCTGCAGGCGTGTGTCTTGCCTCTCGCCTAGCAAGACTTGCATCTCCAACATGGGCCGAAACTTTTGGGCTGCGAAGAAGTCTTGGGGATGTATGGTTCTTCTGCTCCCCTCTCTTTGGTTTTTCTCTCTGGGGCTGCTCCACTTCCGCTATCGAGCCAAAATGCGCCCTGGAACCTCCCAGTAAGGTGTGATTACGCCCGTGGACGTGGCTGCGTGCCCACGCACCTGCTTTCTCTACTAGCCCTAGAGACCAGCTTTCCAGCACTGCCGGCCTTGGCTCTCAGGACTCTAAGTGCGGAGTCGGGGGTTGGATTCCGGTCCCAAGCCCTTCGCTGAGGGTGCTGGCCGCGCCCCGCGTACACCCTCGCCGATCCCCTGCTCCCTTCTCCCACAGGCTGTCGAGAAACGGCGTTTATCTTCGCTATCACCTCCGCCGGGGTCACCCATTCGGTGGCGCGCTCCTGCTCAGAGGGTTCCATCGAATCCTGCACGTGTGACTACCGGCGGCGCGGCCCCGGGGGCCCCGACTGGCATTGGGGGGGCTGCAGCGACAACATTGACTTCGGCCGCCTCTTCGGCCGGGAGTTCGTGGACTCCGGGGAGAAGGGGCGGGACCTGCGCTTCCTCATGAACCTTCACAACAACGAGGCTGGCCGTACGGTGAGCTTTGAGAGGCTCCGCACCCTAAGCGGAGCGGCAGCGGCCAACCTCGGGCTGGGGAAGAGACGGTCGGTGAGATAAGGCAAGGGGCACCAGGAGAGGGCGTCCTGGGAGAGCTGGAGGCTTGGAAAGAAGCCGGAGAATAGAGGAGACAGTGGCTGAGGGCAAAGGGATGCCTGGCCCGCGGACAGGTAGAAGAGGTTACAAATCAAGCACAGTCTCTTCACTATACAGATTTGAAAAACAAGCCTGAGAGGACGAGACTGACCCGCCGCGGCGGAGCAGGGTTGGGCAGGGTTTCCAAATCTCAGCGGAACATTTCGCGCCTCCCTTCCCCTGGGCTCAGCTAGGCCTGGGCCTTTGCTGAGGTCCGGCCCCCGTGGCGTCCGGGAGGGGGCAGTGTCTGGGAGGGTGACTCTGGCCGGGTGCCCTGGGACACTCTTTCTTCCCCTCTCCCCGCAGACCGTATTCTCCGAGATGCGTCAGGAGTGCAAGTGCCACGGGATGTCCGGATCCTGCACGGTGCGAACGTGCTGGATGCGGCTGCCCACCCTGCGCGCCGTGGGCGATGTGCTGCGCGACCGCTTCGACG